CACCAGGTCCAGGAGTCAAACCCTGGTTGGCCATGTGGGAGTCCAGCGCCCTTAGCCACCACGTCACCTGCCAATCCCATAGTCATTTTTTAAAGAGGCTTTTGCTATAGGGCATGTGCGCTCACCAGAGACATGAGAGAGACAGAGAGACAGAAAAGGAGAAATCAACCCCCACCCCCCCAAGAAAGATGGCCATGCGGCAATCCCTTCTTTAGCCTCCTCCCAGAATTTTGGGCACGCATGCATACTTGCCCAATGTGCATTTTAAGCCACTGGGTTGGAGACTCAAAACGCAGTTGACTATGTGGAGGTCCAGCAACGCAACCATTATGCCATCTGCTGATCCCCTGCATAATCATTTTTCAATCTAAAAATAAATTTAAAAAAAAGGTTTTTGTTAAAAGAGAGTTTTGTTTGTTTTTGCACTGTAGGGCGCATGTACTCACCAGTGACACAGAAAGTGAGAGATCACCCCCTGGCAGATGGCCATGCTACCATCCCTTCTCCTCCATTCTCCTCTTGGGATTTTGGACATGCACATTTGCCCGATGTGAGTTTTAAGCCTTTAAGTCAAGGACTTGGACCGCAGTCAACCATGTGAGAGTCCAGAGACATAAGAGTTCAGTGACAACCATTACGTCATCTGCTGGCCCCTCCCCAATTATTTTTAAGCACTGTAATACAAATTTATGGAAGAACTACTGATTTTAAAGGTTATGTTCTAGAAATTTATTCTGTATTTCTTATTTCATTCAAAAATGGAGAATTTTAAAAAAATAATTGTTTTATTTTATTATTATTATTTAAATTTGACAAGAGAGAGACACGGTGAGAGTGAGAAAGGAAGTGAGAAAGCAAGCCACCAGATTCAGGACTTGAACCTTGGTCGGCCATGTGGGAGTGTCCAGCGCCTTAACTACCATGCCACCTGCTGGTCCCCCAAAATGGAGATTTTTCTATGTAATAGCAGCAGTGAGAAGAGAAACCTGACTCCACTAAAACCACAGCTACTTTCTCTAGGAAGGATTACATCTAAAGGAAATCCATCTTCAGAGGAGGAAGGATACTTATCAATCTTAACTTTGAAGGTAACAACATTAAACAGTTACTCCTAGTAATAACAATTTTTGGCAGCTCCAGTAACTGAAAGTCAACGACTGTGTTCCTGTCAGACACAGCATTCTAAAGTAGCTCAAGTTACAGAAACCAGCTTGTACCTATGTGCTTGCACACACAAGAAGAGAGTTTGTACTAGACTGTGCCCTCCACAAAAAACACACAAAAGATTGTTTTTTTAAACAATGCTTTAAGACAAACTGAACCACACTATTTAAAAATTAGAGGACCGGGACCAGTAGATGGCGCGGTGGTTAAGGCACTAAACTCCCACATGACCAAGAGAGACTATACAGTTCCAGTCCTAGACCTGGTGGCTTGCTTGCACACGTGACCTGTAGCAAACTGAAAACTAAAAATAAATAAAGTTAAATAATTGAAAAAGAGGAAAAATAGGTTTTTTTTTTTTTTTTTCTTCTGGGAACATT